CTTACATCTGATCGTGACTAAATTAGTTCAAAACCGTAACTTTATTTTTTATTTTATTTTTTTACTTTTTTAACTCAGAAGCACAATGATGAATACAAAGAAAAGGACATGGACTAAGTTCCTGCGAACGCAAATTAGGTACTAGTTATATTCTCGCTGCCACTTTTACACTTTGTTTATAACATACATCTGTCTGTCTTCGTTCCATTTCTGCCCCCCTTCCCCATTAATCCCCCCTCCTACCTTACTGCTCCCCCTCCCCATTTATTAATGGAGTGGGCAAGAACAATGAAAACATAAAAAAGAAACTTCATTAATAAAGTGAAAAATGCAACAGCCCGGAAAACATGGACTTTCTTCCAACGATCTTAGGCATTAATTATAACAGTGACTTATACTCATATCCTGAAAGACATCCTGTACATCTATTTCTTTTTTAGATCACTCACTCACTCAATCACTCTCACTCACTCACTCACTCAGCTCCGCATGCCCCATTTGAGATCAGAAAAAAATCATGCAGGTTCGAAAAACCAAGAACTTGTGTGTGAATGAGTAGGTGTTGCCTCAGTGTACAAATTAAAAAAAATCACATTCCTGAGAAAATTGAAACACCAGCAGTGCATAGTTTATTTTCACCCATCACCAAAGCCTTACATCCTTCATATAGAGGACATTACATTATAGGTTTATAGCAGTTTACTGTATGCAATCCAGGACCATGGAAAAATGTAGTTTTTCAGATTTCCAGACTGACCCTAGCGTTTTTTTGGGTTGACTATCTGCATCTGCATTTCAAATCGTCTGAAATGCTATGACAGCCCTGATCATGATGTATTTCAGCTTGACTTTGTTTAACTTCAGCCAGAATCTAAAATGAAAAAAAAAAGATTCCTACCAACTGACCCTAATTGTTTTAGGACTTGAATGGAAACATCACATTTCCCCCTAGGCCTCATCACTAATGGTTTGTACACCTAATTGTGTTCCATGATTATAGTTCTAGTCTCTGTTGTTCACGTACATGTACAACAGCACTGCAATGTGACACAAAATGGCCACACATTGGCCAAGATAAGTTTTAAAATAATTTTTAAAAATTATTCTTCCAACATGATGTTATTCCTTGTCAATTTGCCCTTGACTTCTATATTACAGTTATTGATCTGCTGTACAGAAAATCACCTTTCAGTAAATATTAATTTTTAAACTTTTCTCAAACACATTTCCTTTCTGGAAGAAAAATATTCAGCTCAGAAGGTAATAAATAATATTATCACTCAGCAATTGTATAAAATACAACATACGCAACTTCTTCTTCTGGGTAACTTTGGCAACAATAGTTCTCAGGGACTAATAAATTCTACAGAAGACTATATAGTTTACATATTGACTGAGGTACGTACATGTACAGTCTTGTATACTAAGGAATCCATGGCTACAGCATTACAGTTGTGCAAGTATGTTACTGGAATTCTATAACAAAAGAGACACCACATAAAGAGCATTATTTTAATATATTAAATCAGAAGCACCCAGCATCAAAATAGCTATTTTTTCAACTCAGTTGTATTTCAGGTATCGTCACTTGTATCTAAAACTCATATTGAACAGTTTGCTTCAAAACAACTATATCTGAACACTTTTCCAATTATCTGAACATAGATGTCTGCCTAACTGCTATATTCAACTTGACTCATTCTGGTGTATGTTTATAACAGAAAAAGCCGCTACAATAGATAGCGTTACTTGTCAGCGTTACAGACATGTAGGATTGATGGTTTTCTGGATAACTGGGTGTGATCAGATTTAGTGGAGCGGATTCGATTATCGTGGCCTGATTTTCATAGACACAGACTTTAGGGAGCGATGGCCTCTCCAGTGGACCCACACCACACCTTGCGCGGCTGGGCAGGAGATCCCACAGTTGCCGAGGTAGCGGCCGTTGAGGCAGGAGTAGCCGCAGTGCCTAAACCACCAGCCGCCCTGTCCCCACCACTGAGAACAGTGGCTAATGCCGACATCATTGTCCCTGTCCACAGTGGAGAACTTCTGCCCGTTGAGGGTATGGCTTCCAATCATGGAGTCTCCGGCGGTGCCTGAATACCCGGAAACGGTCAGCCGGTACCCGTCCGACTCACCGGCCACCCTGGATGGGAACAGTAAATCACACAATATTACTAATTAGTTATGGGCAGCAATTGATTCTGATTCTGGTCTGTTTGTAAAGCGAATGAGAGTTCAGAGATCTTATACCTCCATGAAGTACTTAGAGCTTGTGAAAATGTTGCTGTGTTATTTTGTCTTACTAATGATAGAAATGTTGTTATTAGCATATTCTTAATTAAGGTCTATCAAATACGTTATAATAACATATCATGTATAAAGTGTATAAATGTATAAATCATGTATGCGTGAAAGTCCCATCCTTTGGCAGGATGCCACCTAAAAATTTAATCACTAATTATGCAAATAACCTGAACATTTACATAAGCTAATGTCTAATGATGGTCACCTTTAACTAACTTAGACATAACTAACAGCAGCAGAGTTTTTAGGATTGACATTTTTTTTCTTGTGTCAGTCTTACGTATTTCCATGTGAATTCCTAACAACGATGCTTTGCTTAGATAAATTTCTAATCGGAAGGAAGAATACCAACCTAAATGCATCGTATTCGACGTAACGTGTCTGATTTTCCCAGTCCATCATGTCAACCCGCAGTTTATAGTCCTTCTGGGCAGTCAGGAGGTGGATGTTCTCGTTCCCAAGCCAGTATTCCCCGTTCTTGTTCCCAAACCCCTGTTTGTACTCCTCCCAGGTCCGGTTGAAGGGAACCGACCCGTCCATTCTGCGCTGGATGACAGTCCATCCGCCTTCTGTGGAAAAAAACAACCATCTTTACTTTCTAGGCTATGTCCCTATGAAAGTAGTTTTTCCGTGATGACAGTACAGAACGTCCTCGTACTGTGGTGAAAATCCGTTGGAATAGACCAACCCATTAAGGTCTCCGGGCGGCTAATTTCAACCCTCTAAACTATCCAAAAGTGGCATAAATTGCGGCGATTATATCTGTAGCATGTGTTTCTGACCATTAGAATATCATCGGTTTATTTCAATAACCATTGCCACATACATAGCAGCCAAAACATTTGCTGAATTGCGTAGGGACAATCACACTTTCGGATCGAGACGTGATTAAAACATATAAAACTAGAAAGGCCGGCATTTGCTTTGGAGCAAATTTAGGATGGCTTTACCACATTTTACGACACGGCAGGAAAAGATGGAGAACACAAGGAAAACAACGTTTTACATCAATATAACTATAGTATGAAGTGACATATAACTATGAATACAACAGTTGGATAGCTACTAGTATCCCCTACATTATTGATTAGTATTTTTTGCATAATGCAAACTGTTGATAAAAAAGCATTTATGCCACACAGTCCAATACTGGAGCAGGAAAGGTTGACATAATACCAAAACACTTGCAGTACCTACTTTTAATATGGTATGCAGCTGTTCATGGAGATAACTCAATCAAATTCCAACAGCCAATCAGCAAGAGGATTAGAGGAAAGCTGCATGCCTATTGGTTCTTGCTCTACATGCCAGACTGATGACTCATGGATAGTCATCCCCAACTATATCATAAATTGTGACCTAAAAACGGTCAAAAAGTCCCACATTATACAAGTTTAAGGGAAAGTATGACAAAAATTACAATTGATTGTTGTTGGTAGATATAAAGCATACCCATTATCCAACTTTCAGATGATTTGAGTGTAATACCAGGTCTCCAGAACCCAAAATGTACAGATTTTGTCAAAAAATAGGCAAACAACCTATTCTACACAATTTTTAAGTAGTGTATGTCAAAAGCGGGAATGACATTTTTTGGTCATTCGGATTTACTATTAGGGCACGGGAGCCAAAAACGTACATTTTTTTGTCCGAAAATAGCAAAAAAAGCCACCTTTTACACATTTTTAAAGTAGTGTATGTCAAAAGCATCAATTGCGTTCTTTGTAGAAGGTAATAAATAATAGAACTAGAAAGGCCGACATTTGCTTGGGAGCAAATACAGCATATTTCAGTCCATCTCCCTCCCACGCAAAAGTGGACTATTCCAAACTTACCCCAGTGCAAAACTGGCAAAGGTTCTCCACGGTGGTCAGATTGGGCCTGAAAAGTCCCAGACTTTCATCGAATCGGAACTGCGTTTCATCGAATTCGATCCTGTGTTCTTGTGAGTTAACTCCCGGTCATCGAACGTTTCCCTGGTAACGCGAAGTGGCCGCACCCTTTTTTTACCCGTCACGCTTTGCGCACATTCAAAATGGCGAACTTCTACAGCAGGAGTTTTAATGCATCCACCCAGACCGACTGTAGCCTTTTTGGCGCACGAAACATGCAGATCAGACCTGGATCATCAGAGAGAGATCCCAGCAATGCCAACAACTTCTGGGCACTGGCACAGGCAGCAGTGCAGCACCACGTCGACCCCATCTGGCGGGGAATGCTGGCGGTCACTCGCCCTACCGAGTTGCCTGACCTTGGCATGGGGGTGGGCACCGCCAGCATGAGCGCGGACATTGAGGCCGCCATGGGCTTCAACCTTACCCTGGTCGGGCCACTTGTGGACCATTACATCATGCAGCTCGGCCAGGGTATGTCCCGGCGGCTTCGTCCGCGCTTCCACACAGGACTGGCCGTGTTTAGCATCAATGTACCCCCTACCCTGTGGAGACACCTGGAGGCGCTGCTCACAGGGTATGGGGGTACTGCGACACGGCAGTACTGCGTCAGCAGAGCCGGACTGCGGAGTGTGAGGGTGACCATCCCGGACATCACCACAGCACAGCGGATCTGGTCACCTGCCCGAAGAGACGGCACCAACTACCTGTGCCGCCGCCACTTTCAGAGGGCGAGACACATCGGGCAGGATGGCCAGGTAATTTCATTCTACATGTACTAGGGCTCGAAATACTGGGTGCATGTGCACCTTAGTGGAGCTGTACACCCATTTTTTTCGGTGGGAGCACCAGTGCACCCAAATATTTTAGATTTGCAGGTTTATGTATGTCAAGATGTGAAATGTACTGTACATAGTAGTATATATATATATTAAGTAGCATATTCTTAAAATCCAATTGCCAGAAACATACCATAGTTAGTTTTGCTGACATTCTACTTATTTCATTTTACATGGTGCAGCCCTAAAAAAATTTGTGCACCCAATTTTAAGGTTTTTTAAGTTTTTAGGTCGAGCCCTGTCTAACTGGTCTCTGGTTTGCCGTATTCTATTGTACATTATATAGTTTCCTAAAATATAGTAATGATACAAGTTGTGCCACAATTTCATCATTAAGTCTCATAACCAACCTTTGCTGACTAGTTAACAGCACTCCTTAGCAGAAAAAAATGCTCAACTACCACGTTTAGAAATCATCTTTTCATGCACTACTTGCCCCTTCAATGTACACAAAGTTCACAAATTTGTAAATCAAATGTATATCATTTAGATGGAGATAATGGGTGGAAGTGTTTGAACAAGCAGATTTCTTTGCTAGTATATTAACCTAGCAGTGCTGTTATTTTTGTTCTCCAAAACAGACAAGAAGTAGTGAATATTGAATGTTTTTCAGATCCACTACACATCAACCTTCCAAGGGTACAGTGCTGTGGTGGTGTCCAGCCTAACACCAGTGGTGGTCACCTCTCACCTCCGCACCGGCATTACAACGTGTAGTTTCTTTCGCCAGAACTACACGGAGGGTGGCCTTGCAATCAACACCTCACTGCAGGCCACCCTCAACTCTGCTGACGCAGTACTGCATTAATACCTATCTAGATCGGGCTTTTAGGGGGGTTCCTTGTCAGTGTTAGAATACCCACCTGTAGTCTGCATTTTGCAGGCATTTTTGATATTGTAGAAGAAAAATTAACGTACAATTTTATCTTGAAAGTTCATCTGTGTTCTTCCTTGTCAAGGATTCCTCGACAAAGACTGGAGATGTAGTCAAAAATTTGGGTGAGCCCAATATTTTGTGTTGGAAATTGCAGTTCAAACTTAATTCATAATGACTGTGAGTCCAATTGTTTTGGGTAAAAATTTTGCAGACTTAAAAAAATAAGGCAACACGTTAAATGGTGTTGGCCTGAACATGTGGCCAGTTTTTCTCAGATGTGCTGCAGAAACAACATATATTGGTTCTAAACCCAGATAGTGCAG